AGGGGATACCGGGAAACCGGGATCAGCTGGGAAACTGGGATCAGGCTGGGAAAACTGGGATCAGATCCTGGGATCAGCCTGGGATCAGGCTGGGAAAAATTGGGATCGGATACTGGGAAACCGGGATCAGGCTGGGAAACCGGGATCAGGCTGGGGAACTGGGATCGGATCCTGGGATCAGCCTGGGAAACTGGGATCAGGCTGGGAAAAACTGGGATCAGCCTGGGCAAAGAGCTGGGATCAGCCATGGAGAAACCGGGATCAGATCCTGGGAAACTGGGATCAGGCTGGGAAAAACCAGGATCAGGCTGGGAAAAACCAGGATCAGGCTGGGAAAAACCAGGATCAGGGTGGGAAAAACTGGGATCAACCTGGGAAAAATTGGGATCGGATCCTGGGAAACTGGGATCAGCCTGGGAAAACTGGGATAAGCCTGGGATCAGCCTGGGATCAGCCATGGAGAAACTGGGATCAACCTGGGATCAGTCTGGGAAACTGGGATCAGTCTGGGAAACTGGGATGAGGCTGGGAAACTGGGATCAGATCCTGGGAAAAACTGGGATCAGTCTGGGAAAAACTGGGATCAACTTGGGAAAAGAGCTGGGATCAGCCTGGGAAAAACCAGGATCAGCCTGGGATCAACCTGGGAAACTGGGATCACTCTGGGATCAGCTCCTGGGAAAACTGGGATCAGCCTGGGAAACTGGGATCAGCTCCTGGGAAAATCCAGGATCAGTCTGGGAAAAACTGGGATCAGTCTGGGGAAACTGGGATCAGCTCCTGGGAAAAACTGGGATCAGATCCTGGGATCAGGCTGGGAAAACTGGGATCAGGCTGGGAAACCGGGATCAGGCTGGGAAAAACTGGGATCGGTGTGGGAAAACTGGGATCAGTCTGGGATCAACCTGGGAAAACTGGGATCAACTCCTGGGAAAAACTGGGATCAGCCTGGGCAAAGAGCTGGGATCAGCCATGGAGAAACTGGGATCAGCCTGGGAAACCGGGATCAGTCTGGGAAACAGGGATCGGATCCTGGGAAAAGAGCTGGGATCAGCTCCTGGGATCAGCCTGGGAAACTGGGATCAGATCCTGGGAAACTGGGATCAGACTGGGATCAGTCTGGGAAACCGGGATCAGGCTGGGAAACCGGGATCAGGCTGGGAAAACTGGGATCGGATCCTGGGAAACTGGGATCAGGCTGGGATCAGTCTGGGAAACTGGGATCAGCCTGGGCAAAGAGCTGGGATCAGCCTGGGAAAACTGGGATCAGTGTGGGATCAACCTGGGAAAACTGGGATCAACTTCTGGGATCAGCCTGGGAAAACTGGGATCAGATCCTGGGAAAAACTGGGATCAGCCATGGAGAAACTGGGATCAGCCTGGGATCCACTTAGGAAAAACCAGGATCAGCTCCTGGGATCAGCCTGGGAAAAACCGGGATCAGCTCCTGCAAAAACCGGGATCAGCCTGGGAAAAACCTGGAATCAGCCTGGGATCAGCCTGGGAAAAGAGCTGGGATCAGCCATGGAGAAACTGGGATCAGTCTGGGATCAGTCTGGAAAAACTGAGACCAGCCTGGGATCAGCTGGGATCAGATCCTGGGAAAAACCAGGATCAGCCTGGGAAAAACTGGGATCAGCTCCTGGGATCAGCCTGGGATTCCTGGGAAAAGGGCTGGAATCAGCCTGGGAAAACTGGGATCAGTCTGGGAAAAGAGTTGGGATCAGCTCCTGGGATCAGTCTGGGAAAAACAGGATCAGCCTGGGACCAGCCATGGAAAAACTGGGATCAGTCTGGGATCAGTCTGGGATCAGATCCTGGGAAAAACCGGGATCAGTCTGGGAAAAGAGTTGGGATCAGCCTGGGAAAAACTGGGATCAGCCCAGGATTCCTGGATAAGGGTGGGACACCGGGAAAAGAGCTGGGATTTTTGGGAATAATGGGGAAAATGTGGGATTTTTGGGAATAATGGGAAAAGAGGCGGGATTTTTGGGAATAATGGAAAAAAGCTGGGATTTTTGGGTATAAGGGGAAAAGACCTGGGATTTATCCAGGTGGAAATCCCGTTTATCCCAAAAGGAAAATTCCAAAGGAATCACCCAAAATAAAGGGGAAAAATCCAGGGAAAAAAATGGGGAAAAAAAGGGAAAAATGGGAAAAAAATGGGAAAAAAATGGGAAAAAAAATGGGGAAAAAAATGGGAAAAAAAAAAGAAAAAAAAGGGAAAAAAATGGGAAATCCCAAAACCTCCTCACCCAACTCCTCTGCAGGATCAGCACCACAAAATGGGGGGAAAAGGGGAAAAAATCCCATTTTTTTCAATGGGATCGAGGTGGGATTTTTGGGAATAATGAGAAAAAGGTTGGGATTTTTGGGAATTATGGGATAAATGTGGGATTTTGGGATTTTGGGGATTTTGGGATTTGTGGGACCTGGTTCTTGCCCGCGTGCTCCATGATCTTCTCGTAGACGATCTCGTTCATGATCTGGAAGCGTTTGATGGCTTTCTTCTCCGTGATGCCCACGTAGGTCTGCTCCAGGGGCACCGGCCGGAAACTGCGGAGAAATCCGGGGATTTGGGGAAAAAATCCATGGGATTTGGGGGGAAATATCCATGGGATTTATGGGGAAAAATCCATGGGATTTGGGGGAAAAATCCATGGAAAAAGGGGGAAATGTCAGTGGGATTTATGGGAAAAAATCCGTGGGATTTATGGGAAAATATGTGGGATTTATGGGAAAAGATCCATGGGATTTATGGGGAAAAATCCATGGGATTTGTGGGAAAAATCCATGGGATTTATGGGGAAAAATATGTGGGATTTATGGGAAAAATATGTGGGGTTTATGGGAAAAATCTATGGGATTTATGGGAAAAATATGTGGGATTTATGGGAAAAAATCCGTGGAAAATGGGGAAATGTCAGTGGGATTTATGGGAAAAAATCCATGGGATTTATGGGAAAAATATGTGGGATTTATGGGAAAAAATCCATGGGATTTATGGGAAAAATATGTGGG